CCCTTATAGTACCCCTTAAAGGAACCCTAAACCCTGCTAAAAGGTACGCACCTGGACGAGATGGAGATCCTGGGCAGCTACACCAGGGACTTGCCCTACGGCTGCTTGGAAGCCGGGCCTCAAAAAAGGGGCCTCAATAATACGGTTTAGGGTTAAGGGTTTAGGGTGTATAGTGTACTATAACTATAACAAGGAACCCCCTAAACCCTATTCTAATTCTTAAGGCCCCTGCATTAAACCCTGAACCCTGAACTTTGAACAGAACCCTCAATCCGAAGCCGTAAAAGCCCTGCACCCTACGTAGACCGGAAAGGGTTTAGGTTTTCCCAGAGCCCTTCCTGGCTTAGTCTGAGGGCCACGGGGCTAAGGGCCTAGGTGAGGCCTTTCAGCTCACAATTTCTGTTCACAATTTGTGCAAGAAACTTTCGCAGCAATGCAAAGTTAGTCCGGTTAGGAAGCACAGCATCGCACAGAAATCAGTCTTCACAGCTGAGCACGATCATTTCAAGTAGCCTTGAGACTGAACTAAACTCCCAGAGCCTGTGCCCATTAATGCAGGGGCTTTAATAATTAGAATAGGGTTTTGGGGTTCCTCATTATAGTTATAGTATAATATACCCCGAAACCCTGGTCTAATTAAGGCCCCTATATTACACCCAAACTCCGAAGGCTTAAATCCTAAACCCGAACTCTGTTTCTTTATTTTCTAGACACAGTATATGGTAGATTATGTACTGTCTGTTCAATCTTCGAGTATGCCAATGCCCTGAGCCAAGGCCCTAAACCCTAAACCCTAAACCCCTGAAGCTCTAAACCCTAAACCCCTAACCCCTAAACCCCTAACCCCTAAACCCCAACCCCTAAACCCCAACCCCCTAAACCCTAAACCCTAAATGGCCAAGGCTACGACAGCCTCCTGGAGAACCTCATCGATGTGTCCCACGTACCCTTTGCCCACCACGGACTCCAAGGCCCTCTGAGTCCCTGGGTTGTAGGGTTTTAGGGTTTAGGGCTTAAGGGCTTAAGGGTATTAAGGGTTAGGGTTTAGGCTTTAGGGTTAGGGTTTAGGAACTAGGCTTTAGGGCTTAGGTTGTAGGGTTTAGGCTTTAGGCAATAGGGTTTAGGGTTTAGGCAATAGGGTTTAGGGTTTAGGGCTTAGGGTCTGGGGTTTAGGAACTAGGGTTTAGGCTTTAGGGCTTAGGGTTTAAGGTTTAGTAACTTGGGTTTGGGGTTTAGGGCTAAGCCGCTAAGCCGGAACGTGGAATCGGAATAGGGGTCTAAGGGTTTTAGTTGACCCTCGAGGGCTCGAGGGGAGCTGAAGGTTTGCAGTGTGAGTCAGTTAGGGTTTAAGGTTTATGGGTTTCGGGTTTAGGGCGAGGGGTGTAGGCTAAAGGTTTGTGGGGCTTGTGGATGAGCATCTTTGCTTTCGTCATGAACTCTCAAGCCCAATCTTTCACACTGCGCCCCAACTACCAACTCCTCAATACTGAGCCGTAAGCCGTAAGCCCCGATCCCAAATCCCAAACGCCTGAAACGGGGCATCGCCTCTAGCCATCAAGCCCCTCATGCCCACCGAGATTTTGTTGACGTGCTCGGATTCGTTTCTGAGGTTTTGAAGCCTCCACAAGATTCCGGATCATACTAATATCGGGGCCTTAATAACTAGACTAGGGTTTGGGGGGTATAGTATACTATACATATAATAAGCAACCCCCAAAACCCTATTCCAATTGTTAAGGCCCCTACATTAATCTCAACAGTCTGACTTCCCAAAGCCCTAAACCCCAAGCCCTAAACCCTAAACCCTAAACCGTAAACCCCAAGCCCTAAACCCTAAACCCTAAACCCGAAACCCCACAGTCTAAAACCCAAGCCCCTGGCGCAAGCCCAAGCTCCAAGCCCTAAGCCCAAAATCAAAATCCCAAACTCTCAACCAGAAACCCTGAACTCAATGCTTGAGCACCCTTGAATGAACCCCCTGAGACCCAAGAGTTTTCCATCCCTAAACCCTAAACCCTAAGCCCTAAACCCCTAAAGCCCTAAACCCTAAACCCTAAAACCCTAAATCCCAAACCCTAAACCCTTAAAGCCCTAAGAACCCTAAACCCTAAACCCCTGAAGCCCTAAACCCCTAAACCCTAAACCCTAAAACCCTAAACCCTAAACCCTAAACCCCTAAAGCCCTCAATACCCTAAACCCTCAACCCTCCATCCGGCAGGAACTCGGGATGATGCGATTCCGATCTCCATGACCATCCCAGACACCAAGGAGTCCACGGAGTCCCCTGGCGTCCTAAGAGGTTTGTATAGGGTTTAGGGTTTAGGGTTTAGGGTTTAGGTTTTAGGATTTAGGGTTTAGGGTTTAGGGTTTTAGGGTCTTAGAGTTGAGGGCCTTTAGGGGCTTGAGGGTTTAGGGCTTTAGGGTTTAGGGCTCTAGGGGCTTTAAGGTTTATAGGGCTTGGGGAAGGAGGAATAAGGTTAAGGCTTGTTTTCAGAGTGTGACAGAGTTTTTCAAGGGTAGCAGGATTTTCAGGGCGAAGCAGGTGGCATCGGGTGGCATGGGGCATGCGAAAGCCTGTTCTGCGAAAGTGTCAGGTAGTTTGAGTGCTTCTGGTCGAGGATCCGTGGAGGGGCCCTAAACCCTGGCCCTAAACCCTAGACCCTAAACCCTAAAACCTTCAAGCCCTAAACCCCAGACCCTGAACCCTAAACCCTAAAACCTTCAAACCCTAAACCCTAGGCCCTAAACCCTAAACCTTAAGCCCCAAACCCTAAAACCGTCAAACCCAGGTCATGCTCAAAACCCCCCAAGCTCAAAGCCGCAGGACCCTAGTGCTCTTTTTGAGACAGGCTCATGGTTCAGTATATATGTATTATTTCCTTCACTAATAGGGTTTCTGGACCCTTATCATGATATGGGCCTTAGCCGTCCTAGGTTCAGAGCGGAGGAGTTGGGGACAGGATTTCTTACTTCGTTCCCCAATACCCAACCTTTCCACTTTTGGGTTCTCATTATTTAGTAGTAATCTGAAAGTTTAAGCTTTTATTTCCTTGGCTTATTGGGGAAGTAAGCTTGAGGGAGCGTTGAAATTTAGATGCGAAGTAGGTGACCTTTAGCATTTCTGGGGGTACTAGTACCCAAAGGTCAACCTTTAGCAGAAATGTCCCTAGAGGAGCACGAACCCAGAGATCCCAATACCCCTTGAAAAAGGAATGTACCTTCAACCATAATATTAAGGCCCCTATGACTTAAGGTATGCTACTTAATTCTTATAGTACCCTTGAAGAAACCCTTATAGATCCCAAAACCCTAAACCCTAAACCCTAAACCCTAAACCTTAAACCCTAAACCCTAAACCGTGTCTATTCCTCAGTTCAGGGGGTTTTGGGCTCTCTGGGAAGCGGAGGAGTGATTGGAACCCTAAACCCTAAGCCCTAGGGTTTTGGGGTTTAGGGTTTAGGGTTTAGGGGTTAGGGGTTTAGGGTTTAGGGTTTAGCCCTAAGCCCTAAACCCTAGTAAGGAACTACGGTTGATATAAATCCTGCATTACCCATAATAAGGAATATGGATAGTTTTCTAAACTAGGGCCCCCTTCTAGGTCCCCAATATAGTACGGCACCCTGATCAAAAGGACCCTGAAAGGGGCCCTAATTTAGAGAACTACCCATATACCATAGTTCCCATAGTGTAGGGCGCTTAAGGTAATGCAGGGTTTTTATCATCCCTAAACCCTAAACCCTAAACCCTAAACCCTAAGCAGTATCTTCCCAAAAGAGCACCGAAGCTGAGGATCGGAGACCTTCTGAACTTCACCTTCTGGGATCGCACCATGGGCTTCTTGGACTTTAGGATGTCAGGGTTTAGGTGTTGAGGGTTTAGGGTTTAGGGTTTAGGCTTGAGGGTTTAGGATTTAAGATTTCAGGGTTTAGGTGTTGAGGGTTTAGGGTGGAGGGTTTAGGATTTAGGATGTCAGGGTTTAGGTATGGGAGTCTGAGGGGGGGGGGATCCCCAAATCCTAAACTCTAAACCTGAAGCCCGTAACCCTTAGGGCTTTAGGGCTTTAGGGTTCTGGTCTTTAGGGTTTTAGGGTTTAGGGTTTATGGTTTAGGGTTTTAGGGTTTTAGGGTTTAGGGCGTGGGGTTTAGGGTTTAGGGTTTAGTGTTTAGGGTTTAGGGCTTGGGCTTAGTGTTTAGGGCTTTGGGCTGAGGGCTTAGGGTTTAGGGTTTAGGGCTTGGGGTTTAGGGTTAAGGGCTTTGGGTTTAGGGCTTGGGGTTTAGGGTTTAGGTTTTAGGGTTTAGGGTTTAGGGCTTGGTGTTTAGGGTTTAGGGTTCAGGGCTTTGGGTTTTCGGGAGTGAATCCGAGGAAGTTGGAACATGTTTTTAGGATGACTAGTGCTGGGGTTCCCTATACTCTACTAGAAAGGGCATGAGGACAATGCTGTTCCAACTTGGTGGCTTCTACTATGTAAAAATAATGTAGAGGCCAAAATAATCACCAATACTATTCTTTGGGGGTGTCCTTGTTATAGTTATAATGCAATATACCCCCAAACCCTATTCTAATTATTAAGGCCCCTACATTATACCAGGTTATAGAAGTGGGTTCGATTGGCATTGCAGGCTTTCGGAGACGGGACCCTCCTGCTCAAGTCAGGGCTACCTCGTGTGGGGTTCAAGATCGAGTAGCATCGAGTATCCATGCTGCACGGATGCAGGAAGCTCATATCAGACATAAGCCATGGCTTTCAGGATTACTTGGCCCCAAGGGTCCAAAGGAACCAATAATCAGGTACTTAGGTTTCGGATAGTAGTTTGGACCCTAGGGGATATTTATGCCAGTCCAAATCCAAATCCTCCTCCAAGACCTTGCCCCGCAGCGGAAGAGCTAGGAATCCATAGCTGAGGCTTGCAGCTTTACACCACACATCTCTGCACCCTAAACCCTAAACCCTAAACCCCACACTGAGCCAAGCCCCCAACCTCGGAATTCACAAGAACACCGACAGGCCTCAAGCGCGAGGCCAAGTTCTCACTGCGATCGCCCTTCTTCTTCTTCTACCTTGGAGAGTGGGGCCCTCAGCCCTTTAGGTTATCCCTGTG